AGGGAATGAGCAAGAAGAGAGCGAGAGAGGGCAGTCCAAGATGGAAGATTCATACATGTGTACACATGCTTTTTTGTTTTGTCTTCAGTACTGACAATTGAACCCAAGTAACAGCCCCTGCTAGGCCACATTTTACCACTGAGCCACGCTTCCAGCCCCTCACTGGTGGACTCTAGGTGAGAGCTCTACTGTTGAGCCATCTCAAAGGGAGATTCAGGAGGTGAAGGACTCTGTTCCCACAGGTCTCCTAACCCATCTTGCCAGCCTTAAGTGCCCAGGATCTTTACCTGTGTCTTGGGCTCCAGGCTGCCTCCACACACAATCTTTATTCCCATAGAAACAATAGGGTTAACTCACCTTGGGGATCCCTCTCCATTAATCATTTAGTGAGGTACCCTGGATTTGGATTGACTCTCCCCACCAAATCAACACCTCAATGACCACCGTTTCAGCACACGTCCGAGTGCTCCAGCAAGGCCAGCAGGAAGTCCTTGACTGACGTCTGGGGATGCACTCAGAATGTTACACAACCCAAGGTGTTCTGGTGCTTACATTCCATGACAATAAAGGCATCTGTGTGTGTGTGTGCGTATGTGTGTCTGAGTGGTGTTTTTACAACGTACTTCTTCTCATTATCCAAGCCTATATTTTAAAATTGCTGCTCAGTATTGAAGGAAAAATTATTTTATTGCTGCTGGTCTGTAGTGTGGGGTCTAGGGAGATAGCTCCTTGGGTAAAGGTGTTTGCCAATAAGTCTGATGACCTGAGTTTGATCCCTGGGACCCACATGGTTGTCCTCTGACCCCAATGTGTGCACCATAATGTTCACACAAAATTAATAAATGCACTAAAAATGTAAACAGGTAACAATGGCTTTTTTTTTCCAAGACAGGGTTTCTCTGTGTAGCTTTGGAGCCTGTCCTGGAACTCACTCTGTAGACCAGACTGGCCTCGAACTCACAGAAATCTTCCTGGCTCTGCCTCCTGAGTGCTGGGATTAAAGGCGTGTGCTACCACCTCCCAGTGATAACAATGGCTTTAAGAGTGTGACTAGACACACTAGGCCATGGATGTTCCTGCAGATGAACATAGGTAGACAGGTAGACTATGGCCTGGGCGTCTTACATCATAACTCTGCTCTGAGCCTTGCCCCTCCCACCCAGGAAGACCAAAGCTCTTGGATGAAAGAGACACTGGGAACCTGTCCTAAGTACCCAGCAGCCACCCAGAAGGCTACCCTACTCACAATGTACACATGAAAATATTGTTACAACCAAGTACCCTGGTAGTTTGCTTTTAGTGAATTTTGTAATGGTGGTAAGAGACATATAACATGACATTTACCATTTTAAACTTGTTTTTTAAAAAAAGTGCTGATGATCAAGCCCAAGGTTACACATGCTGGGGAGGTGCTCTACGACTAAGCCACACCCCAGCCCCTCACTGGGGGATTCTAGGCAGGGCCTCTACCACTGAGCCACGCCCCAGCCCCTCACTGGGGGATTCTAGGCAGGTACTCTACTACTGAGCCACACCCCAGCCCCTCACTGGGGGATTCTAGGCAGGGACTCTACCACTGAGCCACACCCCAGCCCCTCACTGGGGGACTCTAGGCAGGGGCTCTACGACTAAGCCACGCCCCCAGCCCCTCACTGGGGGACTCTAGGCAGGGGCTCTAC